AAACAAAATAATTTAAAATTAAAATTAAATTTTATTTTAAAAATTAAGAATTGATGTATATTTAAAAAAAATTAATAATACTATTAAATAAATAAATTTAATTTAATTATTAAAAAATATATTTATTTTTAATAAAAATTATTAAAAAATATATTTATTACCCACAAAGATAATACAGCGTAGAAAAACCATCCAAAATAGATAAGTTAGACACACCCCAAATAATATTTTCCATTTTAATATGCCCTCCGCCTAATATTTTCGATAAAAAATTGCCAACCCATTTTTTCTTTATAAGCCCAGCGCCAGTGCTGGTTTATCCCACATTCATTCACCATCATCCTCTCTGTTAAAATACACAGAATCGAAGATGGGGTCGCGAGGTTCCTCCACGGTGACGGCGGTGCTCTTTCTGGCGATGCTCACTCTGTCGTCAGCTCTCGACATGTCGATCATCTCATACGACAAATCGCACGCCGATAAGTCCAGCTGGAGGACTGACGACGAGGTGATGGCGATGTACGAGGCGTGGCTTGTGAAGCACGGCAAGGTGTACAACGCCTTGGGGGAGAAGGAGAAGAGATTCCAGATTTTTAAAGATAATCTCAGGTTCATCGACGAGCATAACGCTGAGAACCAGGCCTATCGCGTCGGGTTAAACCGGTTCGCAGATCTGACCAACGAAGAGTACCGGGCAACGTACCTGGGCGCCAAGAAGTCCCCCAGGAAGGTCTCTAAAAGTAGTGATCGGTACGAGCCCCGCGTCGGAGATTCGTTGCCGGATTCCGTCGATTGGAGGAAGAAAGGCGCCGTGGTTGAAGTCAAGGATCAAGGGAGCTGCGGTGAGTTTATAATTACTGCTTATATTATCGATCCTTTTCTTCAGTTATTTTTCCTTTGATTTAAAGTCATCAGTTTGGTCAACGATAGTCTAATTGCCTAAAACTTATCGCTTAGTGGTTTTTAGGATTTAATTGAAGAAATTAATTAATTTAGTGCAA